GGGGAAAAATCAGGGACAGACAGAAAGTAGTTCCTCTCTTTCTTACACAACTTATAAACAGTATTTGCCACTGCGGAAAGAGGAAATGAGTTCCAAATGAAATCTCATTGTCACTTTACATCAAAGAAGTTTCATGTGCTGCTTTATCTCCATATTGGTGCCTTAGGTAGAAGACTAAATTTCACCTTTTTGGAAAACTAAATTTTGAGGTGTTTTGAATGAAACCGTAACAGCAAGGGCATGCAACGAAAGAAGCCCGCATTTTGATGCAGTGGTCAATCACCATGTCTGTTGCCACTCCACAAGCGTGCAGCGCCACCTGGAAAATAAAACCATACCTCAGTACGATGCTCTTTTGTAACAAACAAAAGTGCCACTTCAGTGCCCTTTAAATAGTTCTGATTTGTACATACCAAAGGACTGCTTAGCTATTCATATTGAGAAATTTAAGAAAATTAAGCAAAGTTGAAAGTTACAAATGGAACATCACAAGTGAAGCATAAGATTTGTTCAATGGGAAATCTGACACAATTTTAACATGGAAATTTGGTACGTATACATATGTAAACCAGTGCTTTTGCTGATTATGGATTTAGTTCAGTTGTAGCATGGGCCATTAACAATAGATTTGAAATGAGAATTTCTAGTCTACAACTCTGCTTGGCTATGAGGCCCTGGACCACTCAAAGTTTAACTTCTTTGCGCCTTAGTCTCTTCCATATAGACTATAGCGGTTACTGACATACTGCAATGTTGCTGCAAAAGTTAAATAAAAATGTATTTGAACATGTTTTGCAAATGTTATATCTAATTAGCCTCATATTTTAAAAAACCTGATTAAAAGTCTTATTTATATAGTACCTTTCGAGGTGTTTTCATATAATGGTGACACTTAATATTGAATGATCAATTACATGAATTACTTTCAATGAGTTTTTTAAAGAGGAATGAATGAAATTATGAATTAGAATGAGTAGGGCTTTAATCATTCGTGAAAATAAAAATAACTAAAAAAAATTTAAAAATGTATTCAAAACACACATCCTTAAATATACCTAGACTTATTACATTCTAAAGCAACGATTATGAAAAAAAGTATTAGGCTTAAAAAAGCAAAATAGAACACTATGAAAGAAAATCAGATATGAGGGTCCTAAAAGATGAATGAAAATGTATTAACTTTGCCAGAAAAATTCTCACAACTCCATTTCATTCTGGAGAGAGACAAATTATATTGGATTATACATTTCCTTCTAGGGATAGATCTCACCACCCTCATGGTAGGGAGAAGCACTCAAAAGATTTTCTGGAAATTTCTAGATGTAAAGTTTTATATGCCAGATTCCTTTTTGAATTAGAAAGCTAAAAAGGATACTATATTGAGAAGAGGGAAGCAAGATCTCTGTTCTCAACCCTCCTCCTTCTAGACTTCTCCTTTGCTTTTAGACTTACATTGCTTAAGAAGTCTATAATCTCTATGATTGCTGTCAGCCCACCTTTCTTTTTCACTCTAAAACGAGCCTAGGAAGGCTGCCCTCGGGTAAAGGCAGCAACAACTACAAGGAAAGAAAAAGTGCACAGCTTTGATTTCTCATCTGCCCCTTGTATGTAGTCCGCTTCTCAGAGTAGAAATCAGGCTAATCCTTAATTTCATGAGTAGCTAGAGATAATCTCATAGTGAAAATTGTATGTGCATTTTCCCCTCAAAGACAAGACTGGAGAACAGACACTTACTGAGTGTCCCTGATGTGCTGGCACTATGCTGAGCTGGGTGATGGCACACAGGACCGTGCTCACAACAGCTCTGAGAGATTTTACTTTCTCCATTTCAGCAACGAGGAAACTAAGACTTACAGAAATTAAGAACTTGCCCACAACAAAACAGCTACTGAAGGGCAGGATCTTGACCCCAAATCCTGACCTCACGCATTAATTACATCAGGCTGCTTCTCTGCAAAACCCTCTGGAGGCTTTGAACAAAGAAAACCTTAGAGAATGTATTTTTCTAAGTTTCTCTTTACATGGGTTCACATTCTTTTTGCTACATGCAAGAGTAAGTTTATTTCCCTCATTTAAACAAAATAATAAATTGAAGAACTATTTACACAATAAGTTATAGATAATGTAATAATTATCCTCCAGTAGTAGATTTTAGGTCTAAGAGGTTTTATTGCATGACATACTTCTAGTTTCCATGGTTATCAAATGCAAATCAGAAATAACCAGCAAAAAATGGGGATAGGTCAATGTTACCATTTGATACGGAGATTTAGCATACAATTAAGGTGGTTATTTCAAGCCAGGGGAGAAAGGAGGGACTTTTTAATATGTGATGTTGGGTTAACTTGTTAACCATATAAAAAATAAAAATTAGATCTTTTCCTCTTACCATACATCAGAAAAACATTTCAAATGAATTAGGGGTTTAAAATGCAACAAGAAAGACATGAGTGAATTCCTCCATAAGGGAGTGACAAATACTAACTACGGCTGAAAAATCCACATATAACAAGGGATAAATTAATAAATTTGATAAAATAAAAAATTTAAAAAATATCTATTCACTGAGTTGATATTTGAAATAATAACAAAATGGAAATAACCCAATTTTCCACTGAGAGAGGGCTGCTGGAATAAACACGATAGAATGCTCTGCAGCTTTAACAATGAACGTGGACTATCTCCATCAGGGGTCCTCAAACTTTTTAAACAGGGGGCCAGTTCACTGTCCCTCAGACCATTGGAGGGCCGGACTACAGGCCCGGGATGAGTTGGCTGCTAAGCAGGACAGCAGCAGCAAAAACATCCAGCGGGCCAGATAAATGTCTTCTGCGGGCTGCATGTGGCCCGTGGGCCATAGTTTGAGGACCCCTCATCTCTATTCTTGGCCAAAGGGTAATTACCAGGAGATACTGTTAAATGAAGTCATGTTAAAAAATTCTCAAACTATTTTCAGCATTCATCACTGGTTGTTGTATTGTGTGTTTCTAGTACCCTAGTATGTATATTCTGGGCTAAAACAAAAAATGTGCTGGTGCCATTAAGAAATATTAAATATTTTAGCATGGGAGAAAGAAGAAAGAGATAGAAATGAGGCAAAGTTAGAGCCCCATTCTCCTGAGTTTAAATTGGAAGTGTCAGCATAAACTCATGATGATTTTGTTAAAAAAAAAAGAAAAAGTATTCCCCAGCTCAGATCACTGAAAAACTTGCAAAGACCAAGCCAGCGGCAATGGCCATCACCTAGATGTCAGTATTTCTAATGCCCTTTTGTTTTCCCTTAAAGAGCTCAGAGCTCTTTGGAGAAAAAGCTAATATATAAGGGAAGAAATATATAAGATGAGCTGGAACACTTTATTATACTGCAAAGAAAGGAAGCTCTCAAATGCCACTGACACCTTGTCAAAAGGACTCAGGCTGAAGAAGCTCTCTCTGAACGAAGATGGAAACTTTCAGCATCGATAAAAATAGTAACTGCAATAAACTGAAGTATTTCAAATATTACACTGATGAGTCAATAATGATGCTTTAAAAAACAACCCTTGTTTTTAGTCATTTTTGGGAGATAGCCAACTCATTTGAAAACTGGGAAATATAAGAAAATAATCAAGTTTTATCTGAACTTTCCTATATGAACTATTCCTCAGAGTAACCAAAGAGTTGATAACAGATAGTAAATGAAGAGGGAATGATAAAATCAGAATTTCACCATTTTGTAATCTTTATTGAAACAAGGGAGCTGGGGACAATAGTAAGAACGTTGCTAACACTACACAAGACTGTCAGACTGCTGACAAAAAACACCACCAGCACCTGTGGTCTTATCCCCCAATTGAACATGAATCTGAGTATGCCTCTATGTTCTATCTAGATGTAACTACCAATTTTTAGACAATATAGGTAACAGGGTAATATGTGAAACAGCAGTAATGAGATGTAATAACCAAGATTTGTCTTGTGGAAAATTCTAAAGGATAAATGAAGACAAATGACATGGTTTCATAAACAAACTGCAGGGGAAAAAAAGAAAAGAAACAGGGATGGAGTGGTAGGCACAGTGACCCCTGAAAGATGTGCATGTCCTAATGTGATTCTGATTCAGTGGGCCTCGGGAGGGGCCTGGACATCTATACTTCAAAAAAGCCCCTGTGTGTTGTGGATGGTGCTGGGTTTCCTGCCGTGTGGGAGAGCTTCTGTAGCAACTTGAATGTGAATGATTTTTTTTTTAGAGACAGAGTCTTACTTTGTTGCCAAAGCAGCTGGGATTATAGGTGCCCACCACAATGCCCGGCTATTTTTTTTGTTGCAGTTCGGCCGGCGCCAGGTTTGAACCCACTACCTTCGGTATATAGGGCCAGCGCCCCACCCACTGAGCCACAGGTGCTGCACAAATGTGAATGACTGTGTTGAGCAATTTGTTTTTCTTTCTTATTGATCCTTAAAGGCTTATTGTTGCTACTTTTAGTTCCAGAAACTGTACAGTTCATTCGTTCACCATTCATTTATTAATTACATCAGCAATTACTGGGCATTTCCTACATATCAGTATTATGCTAGTTGCTGGGAGTAAAGGGTCAAAAATATGGTTCCAAAATTTTCTATGCTCTATCAATAGTAAATAACTGAATCCAAAGTATATACATACATTATTCAACTGAATGTGGAATTGTAGAGGCTTGAACAACTCTCCAAATTTAATCATTTTTATGTACCCAATGTGTATGACTCACTGTGGGCACACGGGGAACAAAAAGAAGAGGACAACACTACACAAGCTACAGCACAGGAGAGCTCAGGAGCCTTATCGCGTGCTGACAGACTGTGCTGTGCCATCAAAAAGAGTTCAGACAGAAACATCACAGGAGGGAGGGGGACGGTCAGATAGGGGAAAGTCAGGAAGGGTCTTCTGGAAGAGGTAGCCTTTGAGGAGGGCTTTGTAGGATAAAGGATTTCAAAGGCCAAGAAGTAAAAAGCAAAGAAGTGAAAAAGTAGATGATATTTTCATGAGAAAGAGAGTGGCATTATACCAATATTAATAATGTAAAATTTAGCATTTAATGAGTAACACACTATGCTAAGTGCTTTCCATGTACTTAACACAACAATGCCATGGAGTAGGTACTATATATTTTTGGACTTTTTGTTGTGGTAAAAAACATAATGTAGAATTTATTATCTTAACTATTTGTAGGTGCACAATCAGCAGTGGTAATTCACATTGCTGTGAAATAGATTTTCAGAATATTTTCATCTTTCCAGACTGAAAGGCTATACCCATTCAACAATTTGCCTTTTCTCCTTTCCCATGGACCCTGGTAG